TTTACAAATTTGTTAAAATCAATAAATCTGCAGATCCTAAAAGCCCAAGAAACTTAAGCCAGACAGACACACATATACGTGCACACACACACGCAGACACACACACACACACAAACACAAGGACACATCATAATCAAATTGCCAAAAAGCAGTGATAACAAGTAAATTTTAAAAAACTGAAACTGCAGGAGAAAAAAAAAGGTATACAAATGTCAGCAAACTAAGATGAGAATTACTACTGGTTTCTTCTCGGAAATATTGCAAATTAGAAGAAATTGGAACCACATCCTTAATGTGTTGAAATAAAAATATCTATTTAGAAGCCTATATAGCCAACGAAAGTATTTTAATAAATTAAAGTGAAATAAATGTATTTTCTGACTGAATAAAAAAGAACTAAAAGAATTTGTCATCAGGACACCTGCATATGGGCAAGATAAAACTCTGGGGAGTGACAGACACGTTCAGTATCTTGATTGTGGCAGTGGTTTCACGAATGGATATACATGTTTATCCATGTATATATATGATGTATATATATCAGACATATGATATATGATATAGATAGATTATATACGATATATATATATATCAGACTCACTGGAGTAGCACACTTTGAATATGTACAGTTTATTATGCGTAAGTTATACCTTTTAAAAGTATTATAAAAAGATGACTGGCTGTGTAAAGCAAAATAGAAGTGATGTATTGTGGAGTTTGTAAGACGTAAAGAACTAAAACATATAATGATAGTATGAAGAACGAGAGTGTGGAAGTACAATGTTGTAAGATTTTAACCACTAATGTGAGTTGTAAGAAAATGATCAATTGCATGTTGTGAAGCTAGAGACTCATAAGTTAAACCTTATTGCAAACATGAAAAAAGTGTGCCAAATAAACCAAAAGGGAAAGTAAAATGAAACAATAAAATTAGTACAACTGAATACAAAATAAGTCAGGACAAGAGGGAAAAGGGAACAAAGAGCAGATGGGACAAAGTGAAAAAACAATGGATACCAAGAGAGTAGACTTCAATGTAACCATGTCAAAAATTATATTAAATATAATCCTCTAAACACTGAAATCAAAATTCAGAGACAATAAGGCTAGTTAAAAATGCAAGATCACTCAATATGTTGCCTTCAATAAATGAATTTTAAATTCAATGACACAAGCAAAAGTAATCAGATGGAAAAAGCTATACTATGCAAATATTAATCATAATAAAGTTGGACAGATGATATTACTATCAGGTAAAATGGGTTAAGAGAGGACTTAGGCTAGTGAGGGCTTACTATACAGTCTGGATGGTAGAAGACTAAAGTTTTCAAATTTCAAGATAATTAATGTTTCATCCCACCAATCCCATCCCAAGATATTTTCAGCCATTGTAATAGCTACATTCATTATCTCAGATTCATGATTACATGAACACAATAGTCAGATGAGAACCATGACAGGCTCAGAAGCCCATGACAAATGGAATTTGAAGAACAAGTCTGAAGAATACTGCTTATCTTGGGTTTGAATTAAGAACAAAGAGAAATGAAAGTCAAGATGAAAATATCTGTAATTCTATCTTTAATTTATTTAAAATTTTACTTTTTTCCTTAATTATGTGTTCTGTTTTGTTGATAAGTAATTAGACTTTTGCTAGTTCATCTTAACAGATGCTCAATCCATGCTCATAGAAAATTTAGGTAAATGTAAAATTTTTTTTACATCCTTTGTAATTCTATGACTACTGAAAGGGTTACAAGCTTCATAAAACAATGCTGGAAAAATCAATCACAAGTTAGGAAACTCAGTCACACATAAGTTGGAGAATATCCTTCAGAGAACTTCCAGAAAGGAAATATTATCTCTTTTATTCCAAGGACATCAAAGTTTGGAAGCCAGAAAAAGTTCCTTATAAAGTCAGATGACCATAGGTCCAGAGCAAGATTCCTCAAATGGAGGTGTGGGATGATTTTGTCCCCAATGGGACATCTGGCAATGTTTGGAGACATACTTGGTTGTTACAAGTTGGGAGATGTGCTACTGGCATCAAAATAGGTAGAGGCCAAACACACTATTAAACATCCTTCAATTAATGGGTCAGCTGCCACCACACAAAAAATGTACCTGGCCCAAAACATCAGTAGTGCCAAGGTCAAGAAACCCTATCCCAGAGAGACAATCGTTTATTCAGCAAGTATTTAGTAAGCAACTTACTGTGAACCCCAGTTTGTTACTAACTAACAGGGTATACTGGGTAAGTCTCTAAGCCCAATTTTTCACATCTGAGAGGTGAGGGAGACAATAATCACAGCTATGTTACAGGGCGAGTGCTCAGGAAGTGGTGGCTGCTCTCTTGCCTCTGAGCTATGCTGCTTACTAGGTATATTATGTTGGGAAAATTATTTAAACTTTCTGAGACTCCATTTCTTTATTTGTAAAACCGAGCTGCATAAAGTACTGTGGGGGCTCATAAGAGACTTGAAAATAGGCAGGTTTCTGCCATTATGAGATGAAGTGAGAAAGTGCCAAGATGAGAGAAATTACCCTTGTGGGGACTGCAGGTTTGGCAGAAGGTAAAATTGTTCTTCTTCAGCTTTGATTTCACTCCCACCTGCTTCTGGCTTTCTCCATTCTGCAGTGGTCTGGTAAAAGATGAGTGTCCCAAGGAGCAGATATGCCAGTGCTCTTGCAGTTGAGATGTCACATGAAACAGGAACTTAAGAGAAAGCCATAAAAAGTCACTTGTACCTAAAAATTTCTGTCTAAAAGAGGAGACTGCTTCCTGAAAGGATCCTAAAGCACAGCATGGGATGAAGGTGACAGCCAATTCCAATCAACAAATATTATGATATATCTATTATGTACTACCCCCCAGACTAATCAGTAAAGATGTAAAGGGACATAGAAGGAAAGAGAATAAGAAGGAATTCACATTGAGCCCCTAGTCTGCCCTAGATGCCAGGATAGAGGCTACACAATACTCTATTATATTTGTCAGACTTCTCTAGAGAAATAGAACCAATAGAAGAGAGAGAGAGAGAGAAAGAAAGAGAGAGGGAAAGAGGGTGTATGTGTGTGTGTGTGTGTGTGCGCGCGCGTGCACGAGCACATACACGCGCATGAAGAGAAAGAGAGATTATAAGGAATTGGTTCACATGATTCATATCTGAGAAGTCCCAAAATCTGCAGTCAGCAAGCTGGAGACCCAGGAGAGCTATTGTGTAGTATCACTTCAAAAGCCAACAAACTTGACACCCAAGAAGAGCCAATATTTCAGTCCAAGTCTGAAGGCCAGAAAAAATCAATGTCCCAACTCGGTAGTCAGGCAGAAAGAGCTCCCTCTCACTTAGCCTTTTTGTTCCATTCAGGCCTCCAACTGATTGGATGAGGTCTACCCATGTTAGGGAAGATAATTTGCTTTACTCAGTCTATAAAGTCATATGGTTTTTAAAAACTGACAAATAATATTTGTACATATTCATGGGGTACGGTGGTGTTTCAATACATATAATGTATAGTGATCAGATAAGGGTAATTTTGTATCCTTCAACAAATCTCTCTATATCTCTCCCTTCCCCCTACCCTTCCCAGCCTGCATTTGTTGGATGTAGTGGCATGCATCTGTAGTTCCAGCTACTCAGGAGGCTAAGGCAGGAGGATTGCTTGAGTCAGGAGTTCCAGTCCAGTCTGGGCAACAGAGCCAGACTTTCGCCTGTTTAAAAAAATATATATACAGATTTAAAACACTCTTATAGATATACCCAAAAATAATATTTGCCCAGACCAAATGTCTGGGCACCCCCACCCTACTCCATGGCCAAGTCAAGTTAACATATATTAACCAGCACACCTATGAAGTAGAAATTATTGTGTGTATCACTAGATGCAATTTACAGGTAAAGGCCAGACGCAGTGGCTCACGCCTGTAATCCCAGCACTTCAGGACGTCGAGGGGGGCAGAACACGAGGTCAAGAGATTGAGACCATCCTGGCTAACATGGTGAAGCCCTGTCTCTATTAAAAATACAAAAATTAGTCGGGCTTGGTGGCATGCGCCTGTGGTCCCATCTACTCGGGAGGCTGAGGCAGAAGAATCGCTTGAACACAGGAGGTGGAGGTTTCAGTGAGCAGAGATTTCGCCACTGCACTCCAGCCTGGCGGCAGAGAAGACTCCATCTCAAAAAAAAAAAAAAAAGCTTAGTGAAATAAGTCCCTTGCCAAATTCACACAGTTGCAAAATCAAAACATAAAACTAATTCTGTCTCACTCCAAAGTCACTCTGAAATAAAACATGCCCTTCCCAGTCATTCTCTCCACTCTCAAACCATTATGATCTACAAATGTGACCCTGAGCAAGTTCTTTTCCTTTCTAGGCTTCAGTTTCCACATGTGGAAAATAAGGGTTTTGAACTAGATTATCTCAGAGGTTCCTTGCAGCTCTCACCTTCTCTGACTTTACTTAAATTGAGCTTTTAAAAGATCTTTGGCATTGGTATTCTTTCAACACATTGTCCAGTAGTCATTTTGACAGAAGCCCTCTTTCTGAGTTGACAGTGTGGTTAATTTGCAAGTGAAAAGTGCTTTCTACAGAGTGAAATAGAAAACTGAGAAAGTTGTCAATTAGGTAATAGCAATGGAGATAAGCATGTGAGCCTGTAAGCGTGCATGCATGAGTGCATGTGTGGTGGGTGAAGATAAATCTTAATGGTAAAACTAGAAAAATTATTTCTTCTAACCCTTTACCACCAATCTATTAGCTTACGCTGTTTTGCCTACAGCTTTTTAAGTCAAGAGAAATGAATATTCTCTCCTACATCTGATTGTACCATTATGTAGGCAAACCAGATAAATGACTGTCAATATCTGGCCATTTAACTTACTCAACAGAGAACTAGTAAGCACATACTGTACACCAGGTATGTCTCTAGGTACTCGGGGAATAAAAGATCAATATGAGATACTCTTCTGTTCTCAAGGAGCTTGTGGTGTACTAACATACTTGGGGATGGGAACTGAAAGTGAATCAAGTATTCTCTTGTGCAGGATCCCAGCTAAAACATCCTGGCATCCAGTACTTTAGAGCTTTCAAAGCACTTTCACATCCACCATCTCACTTTCATGTTCCCAGAAACCCTGTGAGGTAGGTGGGGAAGATTTCACAAACTTCATTTTATAGATGAGGAAACTGAAGCCTTATTAGAAATTAAGTGGCTCAGATGCTGATTACTGAGTGGCAAAACCAGGACCTACATTATTGGGTTATGTTGACTCAAGAGTCAAGTGCTCTTTTCCCCAGTTGTCTTTATATCTCTAGGCCATGGCTGCCATGAAATTTTTGGTGGCCAGGTAAAGGTGTTTTCTGGAAATATATCTCCTGGAAAACATTCCATTTAGAAGGACAATTCAGGTGGATAATTCAATCTCTAATTTTTACAAAGGAAGAAGTTCCTTTGACTTTGGTAAAATCTCAAAGAAAACCTAATTAAGATGTCAGCACAGAGGACTATGTTGGGAGAAGTTCTCACATTGACTTTGTGTTCTTTAAACTTGCATGCTGTTTTGGGTTTTTGCCAACACACAGGTCAATGTCAAAATACTGGCAAGACTGGACCACAAATGTATGGCAGTGCTATTTCCTGTTCCAGAGGTAGTACTTTTTCAATGCATCCTGGATGCTTGACATTGTATTCTACTCTATTGCATTCCCCTAATCTCTTCTCTCCTTGTGAGTTCTACCTATGTCCCTGGTGACCTGGGCATCCATGTCTTCTTACTGCCTCCTTCTAGCTGGGTAGCCATGTTGTTTCACTCACTGGAATACAGTTTCTTCATCTGTAAAATGGGAGAATAGTATTAGAATATAGGAAGTATAATCTATCAGTGTAAATGAGCATGGGATTAGGAAACACTAACACATTTAGGAATGAGGAAAGGGCCTAAAAAATTTATTCTTGGTTCCTCAAATAAGGTATCAGCTGTTTTGTCTAGGCAAGTGACTTCACCTCTCTCGACCTCAGTTTCCTCATTTGTAAAATGGTATCATGGAACTAAAGTCTCTCTAAGACCCACTCAACACTGGGATTCCATGACTCAGCAAGTGGAAATGAACACATAACTTCTGACTGTCCACTCCTAGAGTAGAAGGCACTGAAAACAGAGGAGTAGAAGAAGAGAGTAAAAAATAGGGGGAAGGAAAGCACAGGAAGAGCATGTTTTAATTATGTTTTCTTTCTTGGGGAAAAGAATGGACTGAAAACACAGAAGTCAAATTAATTAAATGAAAATAATGTATTCTCAAAAAGAAAAATATCAAATGTAGTTCAATCAAAAGATAAGGTGTGTTAGCAATGCAACTGTCAGGGAACATCAGCTAAGCTCCAGGATTCCTGGATAGAGAATTAGGGGGGCATTGAGTGAAACCACAATAGCCAAGTTGCTATTATAGGACTGGGTTCAAAGATGCTTACACCATCATGTCCATCTAAACAAGCAAGTCATTTCTGCTCCTTGGAGACTCCAGACAGCAAAATCAGATAAACTTGACTAGTATCCATGCAATAAAATAGGTTGTGGAAGACAGAGCTTGGACTAGTCATGGCCCCAAGGAGATTATATGAGTTGATTTATATCAGATTTTTTAAAGCTTGTTTACATCATTTAAAGTAGGGAAAATTGAAATCCATCCAGAGGTCTATTAGTAGGGAGATGACTATATAGCTTACGGCACATATTAGCATGCCACTGGGATGGTGGAGTGAAGTGGATGAGACAGACTGACCTGCCTGAAGTATAGAGCTCCAGTTAGGTACTTTTTTCATTTTCTGTATATTATGTTTTAACATTTTAGAAAACATTTCTGGCTGTGGAAAGACAGCCCCTCTTGAGGCTAGCCAATTCTTAGAGATAACAAATGGCTCAACCAAGAACATGCCTTTGATATGCAGGCTAACCAAACCAGAATCAGGAGCCCTACCCCTTCTATCTGGCCCATACATCGCAAGAGGCAATATTGCTCTGCCTTAATCATCTCAGGGCCAGGTACCAGGCAACTAGGAACCACCCCTACAGCGTAGAGCCTTCTAGAATTATACAAATTAGAAAATCCTAAACCAAACACCTGTTCTGCCTTCCCTTTCCCAAGGAAACCCCAATGACAGCCATGGCCTAAACACTCACTTCATTCCTGTGTTTGCCTCCGGATGAACCTGGTGCCTTCCCACATGCTCTGTGTGGTGTGCTGTGCCTCTTGCTTCTAGGACCTGGGAAGACAATGAACTTTGTTTCTTCCTGAGCCTCTTCTGGTTACATTTGCCATGTCACTACAAATTACAAAATGGTAGGTGAGCACCAGTGTGGTTTGTGGGATGGGGTATAGCCCAACATGACTTGTCATTAATTACCCCATATCTATCCATCCTCTACCCTACCCATATACATGCCCACAGCTAAGTCCTGCCCTGTTTTCTCTGTTTCTTTTAGTGATATCCTAATTGATCCAATTCCCCAAAACTCCTAAGTTAGGAAATTAGTCATCATGTCTCCTTTCTCTGCCTCTCGCTCTCCATGCCCAGTCATTTGTCAGTTGCTTCCTTTAAAATCTCTTTTGAATTTGTTTCTTCATTTCTGTTTGATAGCTCTTTATCATTTAAACTGATCATTGCAATCACCTCCCAACTACTCATCCTGCCTTCAGTTTTCCTTTCTTTTCAATTTAGCCTGTATACACGTTTTAAATGAACCTTCTTAAAATATTACATTCCCCAAATCACTTTTCTGCTCAAAACTGCCCAGTGTTTGCCTTTGTCTTCTGGATGAATTCCTGATCCCTTAGCCTGTATTTCAGGACCTTCCATGAGCTGATCTTTCTTTGTCTAACCTCAGCCCTCAATGCATATCTTGTTTTGAAAAGAGAGGAAGCACAACTTACAAGAAGGGAGTCCCTGACTAGAGATGGTGTCTGGTTTGAACCATTATCAGCTGAAGTCTCTAGTGTTCTTATGGCGTTGTCCCACTTGCTTCCAGAAGATAGAAAGAAATCCAGATAACACCCTGCAGTAGTGCTGGGCTCTACAAATAATGATGTCATTTGCATATGCCATCACATTGTGAGTTGCAACAGTCAGTAGGCATCATTATTCTTATTTCAGAGATGAGCAGCCTGAGGCCCAGTAAGAGAGAGTGACTTGCTCAAAGTCACACAACTAAGAAACGATGGAGCCAGGTCCCTCTTTTCAATGATTTCTGGCCAATATTCTTTATTCCCTTGCTTCCCTGTCCAGACTATACTTCATCTCATCACCAGAATGACCACACCTAGACTGACTTCACTTTTGCCTTTCTCACTCCTACAGCAGCATCATGGAGTGCTCCTTGAAAAATTCACCTGGACTTGCAGGTCCCCCACTAAACATTTGACCCATTTCTTCCCAGGCACCTTCTCAAGACCTCCATCTATCAATTATGGTCTCATTCTCTTGTCTGGCTCTGTCTCCTTAGCACGCAAACATATTAACCAACCCGCACACTCCACTTCAAAAAAAAAAAAAACCTTTTCTGAATACTGTATCTCATTCTAGGTACTGTCTTATCTCCTTCCTTTCTCAACAATGTTTCTTTAGAAAAATCGTTACTGATCATTGCCTCCTTTCCCTCACTTCCCATTCATGGTTTAATCCATTGCAATTCTGGGTACAATCTCCACACTTATCCCTGAAACTGTTCTTAAGGCCAAATTCAATGGGCACATGTCAATTATCATCTTATTGGCCCTGACAGCAATGTTTAGTCAGGTTAACATTCAATCTTCAAAGTCTCTGCTTGGCCTTTTCTTCCAGGACACAACTCTTGCCTAATTTTCCTTCTGGTTCCCTTGTGGTTTCTTTTTAATCTCTCGCTCAAACTTGTCCTCTGTCTATTCCAAGAAGTATGTAGCTATCTAGCTGTGAAGCATCCTTGAGCAGTAGAGCATTCACTGGCACTAGGAGAGGTCAGTCAGAGGCTACATAAGTATCTATATAAAGACATCATAGAAGAAATTCTGACACCATGTATTAACTTCAATTAGATGAACTTTAAAGTTCTTTCCAATGCTAAAATTGTGTAAGTCTACAATGCTGAGTGCCAATTAAGAGGTCTGGTCAAAGAAATGCTATCAGAAGTCAAAGCTGAGGGAAAGCCTCCCGAATTAGGTTGGCAAATCCTGAAAGATACAATAATTAAATGAGGTAGATCAATTTTAGTCTATCCCAAAATAAAAGCTTTTCAAAATCACTAGCTACGGCTTTTGCAATTGTTTTATATAATAAGCCAAAGAATGAATTGGATTTTACAACTGAATTTATGTAAGTGACAAAATGCCTCTGTAGTCTGCCCCTTTGTCAGTAGCTCTGGATAAATTGCAGGTTGGGAGGGGTGGACTGAATGAGCTCCAGAACTCAGGGCTTTTTCACTCTTCTGCTGTATTTATGCCTCATGCAAACTGCACAACTAGAGATTCTATGACTTTCCATGCATCTTCCCACCTCTAAGAGCCTTTGTCCATGCTGTGCCTTTGCCCTGGAATGTCCTTTTCCTCCTCAGGTTAATAAAACCTTACCTATTCATAAAAATACCTATTCATAAAAAAAAATGAGTTAGCCCATTTAAATTTGTTTAAACAACACTATGGACATAAAAGACCACCCTGTGATAGGCCAATAACTGCTATTCATTTTTCTAATCCAAAAACTTATTTGTCTTTGATATTCAGATATCACTGCTCTGATCTGGGCCCTACCTGAAGGGTAAGAGGGCAGAAATGGAGAGAATCATCCACTCTTTAACCTGTATCTTCATTCTCAACTCTTTCTGACACTCAGGTCTTTCTAATCATCTCCACTACCACACAAAATCTTTTGTCTCTGGAGATCCATGAACTACAAATGCCCTCTAGAGCTTTGGTGCCCATCTCTGGAAAACTGCTGTTAACTTAAGTTCTTACTTTTATCTTTCAAGAATAGATTTCCCTTTGGTT